CATCTATTTTTTGTCAGGGGAAAATCATCAAACCGCTTTTTCCCGCCCAGGGTTAGGCAAGAGAGAGTGTCAGACTCTTACTGACTAAAAACCCCCCTGTTCCTTCTTCTGCTCTGGGCCGAGGTCGCGGTGCCTCATTGCGCTTACCCCGCCCTGGCTGAACATCAGCCCTATAGGGCCCCGCCTGTACCCTAGGGCCTCACCTGTGAGTCAAATTGGTCTAGCCGGATCATTCGTGCCAAAGCATGACTCTCCCACACAAAACACAATTTAATCATTATTAAATCAACGTTAACTTAGGAAGTAGGTTAGTGTGGAAATATGTACAAACTTACACACATTTGTTCTATATATGTATATGTCAGTATTTACTTCGGCCGACCTTTAACCTGAGAACGCGTGCTCGAATAGTGTCAACGTACTCCTAATTATAATTATTTTACATTCATTAAGAACGTATAGGTAAGTGTCGCGATTCACAAACTAACAAAAAACAATTCGAAAAAAAAACTCACACGAAAAAAGCCTATTATACATTCTAATAACTCTTTTGAAGATATCCGTGGGGTTTCTTTTTTATGGTATTAAAGGTCAGCAAGCGAGCAAACGGATTACCTGATGGTAAGCAATCAGCGCCGCCCATAGACACCCACAACACCAATGGAATGTGTTGCCGGCCTTTTAGGGATAAGAGTTTTGTTGATATTTAAGGATTGGGAAGAGATGGGGGGGAGGATTGGATCTCCGGTAACCTCATTCAAACTCGAATTGTCAAAAACTCCAACCACTCCGGATATTTTTCATTGTATAAAAAAAACTTAAATGGTAATTAGGACGATAAACAGGAAATTTACATATAACATAACGGAATACATACAAAGAGACCTTGTTCAGACAAAAAATATCGGATTTAGCGCAGTCGTTTAGGAGGTATGCGCTTACATACATACGCACATACGTTTCGGTTACTTGTATGTATGAGGACGGGAGCGAGGCTGACTGATAAAAGATCAGGAAGTTAATGTTGTGTCAGGGTAGTTTAGTGATAATCAAATGGATGTTTCAAACACGCATGCGTGGGACACGTGACGTATTTTTTGGAATATTGTGCGTAAATTGTTGAGTACTGTAGTGTGATTCTGTAAGACTTCATTCTAAACTTCGAATCTGAATCCGCCGTGAGTAGTAGTACACTAGCGCTACACTTGCGAGTTGAACTAAATTGACAGCAACATTTTGATAGATAAAGTATGAGATGACGTTAAAAGTGACATTCTAAAATTTTATTTTCCCGTCACTTCGACGCTCACTTCGGACTCGAACAAAAATCAAACAAATTTTATAGAATCGACGTGCTGGCTTTTGCCCACGACTTTATTCGCGTGGAATAGTAAATAAACGCATCGCGGGCAAAAGCTAGTAACAACGCAGATTTTTGGTATAAAAACTGTCTTAAAATTTCAAGAAGGTTTAAGCTATAATCACCACGCTTGCTCAAGGAGGATTGGTGATTTGAAAGTTTAAATTTAGAATTAACTGAGAAAACATCTGTTTTTTTTTATGTAATAAGTCGGCAAACGAGCGGACGGATTGCCTGATGGTAATTAACGCAACAGAGAAATTACGAGCGCGTTGCCGACATTTTAGGAATTGGGGCGAGATTAGGTTAGGGGGAGGACTGGGCCTCCGGTAACATCAGTCAACAAAAATATAAATTACGAATCTAGTCGCGAAAACTGAATAAGAGTCCCCTTGTAACTTGAAACTAGTACAAAGATATTTTCTCAGTCAATTCCCGCGAGTAACACCCAAATTCTGAAAGGCTTGTCAACGCTAAAGTTAACAAATCTCCTGTTAAATCTGTTGTCAAGTCATCTGATTGGTTGTTGATAATTCAGTCAACCAATCAGATGACTTGACAAGAGATTAAATTGATTTTAACATTGATCGGCTTTTCGGAAACCGGGTGTAAGTCGTTATTTTCAAAGTCAAAGTCAAAATCAAAGTCAAAAATAAAAAATATTTCAAATATATCACAATAGGTAGGTAGTTTTGAACGTCAAACAAAACGTCAACTTTATGTGTGTCAGTCTGTCAGTCAGTCCTCTAGTGAAGCTATTTGCTCGTTCCAAAGTGTAGATTCCTATGGAGAAGAACGAGCAAGAAACTCTATGGTCAATAAAAAAATGTAAGTATTACTTGATAATAATTTAATAAAGGAGATAAAAATATAATTAATTTGCGTGTTAACTCGAGCATTGAAAAAAAAGCGAAGACAATAAGAAAAAAATATTGAAAATCCAGCGCGACGGACGCTCGCTGTAAAGATTACCTAAGTACATTAACTATAACTCGTGCAGTTAATAAATGAAGTTAACACAAATTATATACATATATGTATATATACTATGTACATAATATAATCATAATCATTAAATGAGATAAATTATCATTATTTCTCAGAAATGACAAATCAATATATATGTATAATTGGTTATAATATGTCTGCATCATTATCGCGATTAGTTATATGGTCGCCAACAATACTATGGTATTTTTTTATTTTTAACCCCCGACGCAAAAAGAAGTGTGTTGTGGTGTTGTGTGTGAGGAGTTTGACGTGTCTGTCTGTCTGTCTGTCTGTGGCATCATAGCTCCTGAACGGATGAACAGATTTCAATTTAGTTTTTTTCGTATTACATTTGTTTTACGGGCGAGTGTTCTTAGACATGTTTGATGAAAATCGATTGAGCCTTTTAAAAGTCATGAGGGGTTAAAGTGGGGAAGAAAAACCGAATGTCTGCAAATATGCTCAAGTTTGGTAGGTATCAAATGAAAGGTTATAACTTGTACGTCACAAAAACAAACACTTTAACAAGTTTGACGTGTCTGTCCGTGTGTCTGTGGCATCATAGCTCCTGAACGGATGAAACGATTTCAATTACTTACGTTTTTTTTTTGCATTATATACTTTTTTAAAGTAGCTTAAGTTTTTTGTGTCGGGGGTTTTTTATTTTTTTTTATTTATTTTTATCTTGTTATTTTTATTCAATAAGCTACATCAAAAATATACCTTCATAAAATCCATTTTTTTATTTTATGACTGGGACAGAGATCTTGTGTGTATATCTATAACAGATATGTACACTCTCTCTGTCTGTCTGTCACTCTGGTATATCGGTTTAGGTGGTTCACTAAAGGTAAAAACATTCTTGGTATGTTTCGAGCCATGCTTCGGCACGAAAGGGTCGGCTCGATCGGAGTAATACCACGGCCTCACAGAAAACTGGCGTGAAATAACTACAGCGTTGTGTTTCGTCGTGTGAGTGTGGTTACCTGAGGCCCAATCCCGCCCCTTCCCCTATCCCTTCCCGATCCTTATATCCGCAACCCCTATCCCCAAAAGGCCGGCCACGCACTCGTAACTCCTTTGGTGTTGCGGGTGTCCAAGGGCGGCGCCGATTGCTTACCATCAGATTATCCGTCTACTCGTTTGCCGACTTATACAATAAAAAAACGACTTTTTATATTAGAGAGGTCGTATAAATGTGGGAGAGTCAAACTACGGCACGAATGGGTCGGCTCGATCGGAGTAATACCACGGCCTCAGAGAAAACGGGCTGAAACAACCACAGCGTTGTGTTTCGCCGCGTGAGTGAGGTTACCGGAGGCCCAATCCCTAACCCTTCCTAATCTTTAAATATCCACAACCCCTATCCCCAAAAGGCCGGCAACGCACTCGCAAACCCTTTGGTGTTGGTAGGTAATCTTAGCTCGTTTGACGACTTATCCAATAAAAAAAATACGTTTAAAGATTATTTAAATTTAGTTTATTAGCTAACATCGATTTTTGTAAACATTTTAACTGGCTAACAAGTTTTAGACAACTTGTCGATTAAAATGTCATGTCAGGGTTGTTTACATTGAGTTTATTGCCTAAACCGATAGACCATAAGTTGGTATTTTTTTTAATCATCAACATAGGAGTTCAATTTCATCATCATCATCATCTTCCGTTTCTCATGAACCCGCTTCTCATGCATGAGGGTGTAGTTTCGAAACCTGGCAAGTACCAATGTGACTTTTTCCGATTTATATGTATTTTCTATGATTATTTAGACACCACTGACATACGGTGAAGGTAAACATCGTGAGGAAACCTTGGACTTATAATTTCTAATTGCAAGTTTGAAATTCATTCCGCCTTGAGTAAGCGTGGTGATTAATGCTCAAACCTCCTCCGTGTGAGAAGAGGCCTTTGCTCAGCAGTGGGCACTTGTAGAGTGATGATAATGATGATTAAACAAACATATCACTTCGTCTTTGAATCCAAAAGACATAGGTAGAGTAAGTTGAGCTTTAATATTTTTGTACTTGCGGCTTGCCCCAGTTTCGTTCGGGTTTATTTCCCGACTAGCTTTTGCTCGCGACTTTGTTCGCGTGGAATAGTGACTTCCTGCAGATGTTTGGTTTAAAAACTATCCTATGTCCTTTTTCGAGTTTCAAACTATGTATGTACCCAATTTCACACAAATAGGTTCAGTAGTTTAGGCGTGAAGAAAAGACAGATAGACAGAGTAACTTTCGCATTTATAGTATTAGTTTGGATGATCTCGGAGAATGTCGATTTTTTTTCTTTAATACAAGTGTTGTTCTATCACTAACGAATACAAAAAATAATTATCCATTTTGGTGCAGTAATTTGGAAGTTATGAGCTTAATCGTATTTTGGTGGCTCATTTTTATTTGAATAGATTTAAAATAGGATGATTTTTGATACATCACTACAACATAGTATAAAACAAAGTCGCTTTCTCTGTCCCTATATCCCTATTTACGCTTAAATCTTTAAAACTACGCAACGGGTTTTGATGCGGTTTTTTTAAAGATAGAGTGATTGAAGAGGAAAGGTTTATATGTTTAAAAACAATTAAATAATGGAGTAATTTAGGTAGACGAGAAACACAGATAAAGATAATAATAAAAATTAAAATACTTACTAGTATAATACTTCTTTTCCGATTGTTTTCCCCAACATAACACCGAAAACTGATTTTTGACTCCTCCACATTTAAACTGACTCTTTCCACATCCAGCACAACCGTGTAAATTAGCTAAAATAGTATCTTCCCTAATCAAAATCTTCCCCACACCATTACTGGGGGTTATAATCACCATTTTCTCATCCCCACCCTCTTTAGGTAACATTGGTGATGTGGACATTGTTTTATCTAGAGGTTCGTGTGCCATTTTGACGCGGGGGATTTTTATAACATTATTTTTTGGCGCGCGTTTTTCTGATTTCGGACGCGACCGCTCCCGTGCAGATCCGACGCGCAACTGACGGCTGGATGGGTCAGACTCTGGGTTATCACGAAGCATACTTATTTTTTTTTGTGATATGATTTAAATAGGTTATCGTGTATGTATATGTACGAATGTTTCTTGGAGTTTTTACTTGGGATTTTTTTTGTTTAATATAGATAGGTTCTTCTTAGGAAGAGTTCTTCGTACTTACGCGAATTCGTGTGGATTTACGTTTAGTTTAAAGAATAATTAGTAATTAGTGTTTACTTTTGATAATGTTGTTGTTTAACATAATTATGTAGGTACATATAAACATAACATACATACGATCTTATCTTTTCTCTCTATATTATTAGTCGAGATTAGGTTCTCTCTAAGCACCACATGAGGAAGTTTCTATAATATTCAGAGTATAGGACTAGAAAATCGTCAGAGAGCGAGTGTCAGACTCTTACTGACTAAAACACTCCCGCTCCTTCTCCTGCTCTGGGCCGAGGTCGCGGTGCCACATTGCGCTTACCCCGCAACCCCGGCTGACCCAGGCCCCGTCTGTGGTGGTCTATTGGCTCTTTGAGGCGCGGAACGCTACGCGCCGCCATACGCTCGGGTCTGGTTCTGGTCTTACTCGGCGTCCACAGACTCGCGCTTACGGTGACCGGACATCATCTCTCTATCCCCGACGCCCGGAATGTCACCTACTGCGGCGGCTGGGGCTTGAGGAGGATAGTTTCCTTACGCGCTCCGCTTCCTCCTTTGCGAGAATCACTGCCTCGCAGAAAGAGGAGACGGCCGCTGCCGCCGATCGCTTCCCCAAGCGTATACTCCACCATTTTCTCTAGGTGGTCCTCACAATGGCGACACTCGGGCGTTTCCTCCCGCTGGATCAGAAACAGGAACCTACCGAAGCTGCCGTGCCCGGTAAGCACCTGCGTCAGACGGAAGGTGAGGACGCCGTGGCGTCTCTTAAGCCACTCCTCAAAGAGGGGTCTTACCGCTAAGCTAAGTGATACCCTGGATTACAAAATAGGCTCAATGCGGGCGAAACCTTGTTGTTTAATATTTTTTTCGAAAATTCGGTGAAAACATAGGTAAGGTTTTTCAAAGACTGGGAACGTTATTGTTTCGTTATTTTTACCAATTAAGTATTTGATTAATAAATGAAGGAAATGAGGTTATCTCATTGACACGCTTGTTTGTATGTATGTATGTTTGTATGTGTTTTAATGTTGCTTTTGTTTATATATTGACTACTTAATTCTTTAAATTGGTTACAGTCCAAAGTTTAGTTTCCGATTCGCTTATTTAAAAGTACATGAGTACATTAGATTTTTTGTTTTGATCAAAAGTACCATTGTGTGTGAGATTGCGAGTCCGGAATCTAGCAAGTACCAATGTGACTTTTTCCGAGTTATATGTACTTTCTAAGTTAATTGAGACACCACTGACATACGGTGACATACGACAAAATCGTCATGGTGGCCCGGAGGTTAAGGAGCCCGCTTCTCATGCATGAGAGTGTGGGTTCGAAACCTGGCAAGTACCAATGTGACTTTTTCCGAGTTATATGTACTTACTATGATTATTTAGACACCACTGACATACGGCGAAGGTAAACATCGTGGGGAAACCTAGACTTATAATTTCTGATTACAAGTTTGAAATCGTCAACCTGCATTGAGTTAGCGTGGTGATCAAAGCTCTAACCTTCTCCGTATGAGAAGAGGCCTTTGCTCAGCAGTGGGCACTTATAGGCTGATGATGATGATGAGAGCCGTGCCTGGTGCCGTGCCGTGGTGTCTAAATAATCATAGAAGCACGGCTCTCCCACACCTAAATATAAATGTCTCATGAATGAATATTTCTGCCAGCCCCCTTTTCAGTATAAGGTCGTTAACCCTGGCAATGACTAATGACTCTGTCATTAATTGAGTGCTCACAATAACGAGTACGTCTGCTTTGTAAGGGGTCACAGGTTCGACTCCCTGGTTGAGAAAAGTACCTACTTTACCTGCTTAAAAAGCTTTGAAATTTCTTCCAAGTTTGTAAAGAGGGCGAATTCATTATTTTTAAACAACCAATCCAAACTAATTTTATAAATCCGAAAGTAACTCTGTCTGTCTGTCTGTCTTTTCATCGCTAACTACTACTACTGAACCGATTTCGGTGAAATTTTGATACAGACATAGTTTGGAACTCGAGAAAGGACATGGGATAATTTTTTTCCCGGGAATTCAAAAGAAGAACTTCCCAAAGATCGGGAACTACCCACATGGTAAAACCAAAAATCGGCCAGAACTCACTTTTCCACGCGGACGAAGTCGCCGGCAGAAGCTAGTTTAAAAAATTGGTTAATCTTAATTCCGTCATAGCCATAAGTTCAGCAACGCACTTGTAACTTCTCTGGGGTGATGGGTGTCCATGGGCGGCGTTGACAACTATCTGGTCTTAATTGTAGATAAGCCATGCTTGGGCACCAATGGGGTTTCTCGACCGGAGTGATACCACGGCCTCACAGAAAATCGGCGTGAAACAGCCACAGCGTTATGTTTCGCCGTGTGAGTGAGGTTACCGGAGGTCTAATCCCTCCCCATGTCCCCATCCCTTTTCAATCCGAAACGCTTTTCCCCAAAAAGCCGCTCAACACGCTCGTAACTCCTTTGATGTTGCGGGCGTCCATGGGCGGCGCTGATTGCTTACCATCAGGTAACCTGTCTGTTCGTTTGCCGACCTATTACATAAAACATATCATTTTCTATAATTAAGATACTCTTCCATTGTGTACATACATTTTTCTTTCGATTAGCTTTTTTACAGACTTTTAGCATGAATTCCTAAATGTTATGTAAGTGTTGTAATTAGCACGCCATTTCATAATTGATTACTACCTGTTATAATAATGATTACTAATTACTGTAACCTTACCTATACTAGAGATCTGCCTGCGGGTTTTCTTTTTGGATTAAAAAGGTAGGAGGAAGAGCAGGAGAAGAAACGGGGTGCTTTTTAGTCAGTAATATTTGATTATTTTTTCTTCACCGTATGTAAGTGGTATGTAAGTAATCTTAGGAAGTAGATATAATTAGGAAAAAATCACATTGGTTTTTGTCAGGTTGCAAACCCGCACCGCACTCTCATGCTTGAGAAGCAGGCGACTTAGCCAGCTGGCCAAACGACAGAAGTGTGTTGAAACCATCAAACCTGCTTACTTGTTCATTTAAATCCATATCCAGGATCCTGAGATAATTTCTCTGGAACGAAATATTGTAATCAAGATGGCCAGTAGCCCCCGCCGACCTTTTGGGGATAAGGGTTTCGCATATTTAAAGACTAGGGTGGGATGGGGATTGAGCCTCCGGTAACCTGACTCACACGGCAAAACACAACGCTATAGTTGTTTCATACCAGTTTCCTGTTAGGCCGTGGTATCACACCGGCCAAATCGACCCATTCGCGCCGAAGCTTGGCTCTCCTATACTATAGGTGACGATATTTTTGTTCCGTTATCACAGACTCAGGCGGGAATGTCCGAAAATAATTAAAAATACAAATTGGGTAGTTTCCTAGGTCAAAAATAAATTAATTGGATGTTTCAATACAATAAAGTATTGAAAAATAACTATACTTTTATTCATCGATCGATCGATATACTAAGTTTTAGATTTTTTTTAGCTAATTGTTGTGAAATAAGTAAGCTAGGTATTTGACGCAAAAATGTTATGACGTCATAGCTCAGTTTTTCATACAAATTTCATAGAAACTACTGTATTGATTTGTGTCAAAGTTTTTTGTTTATATTGTTGTGTTTGAATGATATTCATGTGTAGGGCATCGAGGGCCACTTCCGAACTGTTATCTAATCATGCCCCGGTTCGTCGGCAATTCATAGAAATATATTCACGACAGCCAATGCAAAGGGTACGTTGTAGGGATAATGACTTTTTATGTACGGCTGGTAGATTAATTTTTTTAGTTGGACACATTTTTTTTTATGTCATATATCGCTGTGAGTTTCTCCTGTGTCGTGCGTGCGTTTATAAACATACAGATTCACATACACATCACACCCATTCAGTGTTATTCTGTAACTGACTTCATTATAAACTTCGAATCTGAACCCGCTGTGAGTAGTAGTACACTAGCGCTACACTTGCGAGTTGAACTAAATTGACAGCAACATATTGATAGATAAAGTATGAGATGACGTTAAAAGTGGCATTCTATAATGTAATTTCCTCGTCACTTCGACGCTCACTTCACACTCGAACTAGATTCAAAATCAAACAAGTTTTATAGAATCGACGTACAGCTATGCTATTCACAAAAGTTTATTTGCGAAATCACTTATGAATCCGAGGTGAAATCATGCTTATTTAAAGTTTCATGTTCTCAAATGGAGTGAAATCTACATTGGCGCCACCATGTGTATAACGAAGTGAAAGGAACTAAAACAAGTGAGTATTTTGACGTTTGTGTACAGGAGAGATGAGAAGCGAAGTGGTGTGTGATTTTCGAGATGAGTTTCGAGGCGATTTACCATTTACAGAATAGCAGTACAGCTCTTTCCATTGGTTGTAGCGTGATTTATTTTTAAATAAATACACACATCGACAACAAAAAATATTTGTTTAATTCTAACCAGCAGTTCCTGAGATTAGCCAGTCCAAACAAACAATAAACAACTATAGGTTTTTATATAAAAAAAAACAAAAATATAACAGTTAGTTACTAGTTATTACGGATGAGACTAAAATCGTCTACAATTAACTTTTTTATGTTTTTATACACGTATGCGTGTGAAGTTGCACAAGTATGAAAAACGTAAAAAATGTTGCGAAACATTTTCTAAAAATAAAATCGTGCTTAATTGGTTACTTAATTAAAGAATTTATTAAACACATTCTCCAAATACTCTTACGCCCGGTTTCTGAAAGGCTTTTCAACGCTAAAATTAACTAATCTCCTGTTAAATCTCTTGTCAAGTCATCTGATTGGTTGTTGATAACAGTCAATGTTGATACAGTCAACCA